CCCCGAGAGGAAGGAGAGGCCTGCTTATATAGCTCCCATGCTCTGATCTGGTTGGTGTAGCTTCACATGCCTTATTAGCATGACAGCTTGGTGATTCTCATTGGTCCTTATGCCAAGGCGCAATTAGCATGTGGTTTAGTGGGTGAGGTGTTTTGAAACTAGGCAGTGTTAGGCCTTCCGGCCAGCGCCATCTTATGGGCGCAGCTGCCAACAATACACAGAAAAAAATGCAAAGAAGTGTACATGTAATTGAATTTCTATAACGTGAACATACCTATGGAACCAGTACCCAGACCAAGAAAAAGTATTTTCAGGACTCTTTCTGCTTCCAGTTGTTTATTGCACAAAAGGTAACTACTATCCTCATTTGCAGTTTTACTTGTATAGAAAGTATACAAAATAGAAGTTTTACTTGTTTTTGAACTGTATATAGAATACAGCATGCACTCTTCTGTCTTGCTTCTTTTGCTCATGTTTTATTTGTAAGATTCATCCATGTTGCCATATGTAATTATAGGTCATTCATTCTCATACCCATAATATTCCATTATATGAATATACCATATTTTACTGTTGCCAGGCACTATCTCATCATTCTCATAAAAAATGCCAGGGTTATCTCATTTTTGGTTATTACAAATATTAGAAAATGTTGCTGTGAACTTTCTTGAATATGTCTTTTGTGACCATATGTACCCATTTCTGCTGGTAGATACCTAGATGTGGAATTACTGGGTCATAAGTTCTGCATATATTCAGCTTTAGTAGATAGGGCCAGTTTTCTAAAGTGATTGTACCAGTAACAGCTAAGAGGTCCAGTTGTTTCACATTCTCAACAATTGGCATCGTCTCCCTTTTTAAAATTTTAGGCATTCTGATGGATATATGGTGGTATCTCATTGTGGTTTTAATTCGAATTTCTCTGTTGACCAATGAAGATTAATACCTCTTCATACATGTATTGGCCAAGTTTTCATTTATTTTTATTTAAGTAACACAAGTATATCCTTGTTAGATATAATACATGGATATAAAAATGCATTTGAAGCTAGGTAATACATAAAAAGCTAAAGTTCCTCTAAAACCAACCCCTTGCCCCCTACTCCTTTACAATCCCTTCCCCAGTTTTGAGCACTGGGCTTGGAGTTACACCTGAATCCCAGCGTTGGTCTGCCACTGACTTTTGTGAAGTTCAACAAGTAGCCTCTCTGGGTCTGTCTCCCATATAAAAAACTATGTTTACCTAGTTCTAAGGACCAATTTCTTTGGACATTCTGACCACTGTTTCTGTGACTGCAGGGAACTCCAGGTGGTGGGGATGGCCACTCATCACCACATACATTATCTCCATCTTCCTTAGTAATTGAATCCTTGAGTTTTGACTGAGCATGTGGCTGCCCCACTAGACTCGATTTTCCAGCCTCCCTTATACAACTAGGTATGGCCATGTGACTAAATTTAAATAAGGGCATGTGGACAGAAGTGATGTGTGCAACTTCTGGATTATGCCCTTATAAAGAAGTGTCATGCCCTCCACTTGCCTTTCTCCTTCTGCTGACTAAAAAGAGGACCCAGTGGTGGCAACTGGATCCCCCATCTTTATCACAAGATGGAAGCCAGGATATGTTGAGGAAGACAGAACAAGGCAGAAGCCATGACCCCCTACACTATGTGTTGACATAGACTGTACTGCTTAGGGAGGAACACTCCTCTCTTAAAAAGCTATCACTATCCTGGTTGTGGTTAAATCCTGACTAATACAGAGTGACAGGGGAATGACTTTAAATTTGGTGTCAGGGCAGGTTTGAGGAAGTGACATTTGAGCCAAGATCTTAACAAAAAGGACACAGCCATACAGATTTGGGGGAAGAGCATTTCAGGTAAAGGGGACCACTGGTACGAAAGCTCTGAGACCCCGCCAGACTTCTGTGTAATGAGGCAGACCCTGTCAATCATGGTGCCGTATCTCCCATGCCTTTGTTTAGTGACTAAAAACAAGAAGCTGGTCATGTGATCTGAACAAGGCCAATCAGAGACCTCCAGAGACTTGTTATATGAATGATGGGACTGAAGGTATCTATCTTTCTCTGGGATTCTAAGTTTTAAGGACTATCTAGGGATCATGTTGCTTTCTAGTGGCAAAAGCCCATCTTAGAATAAAACCAAAACTAGGTGAGAACTAGGAAGGGACAGAGCCTCCACGAGAGGGTTGGACCCTGGACCCAACCACACCGGACTGCATCACTATTCAGTTATGAAAACCAATTATTTCCTTTTTGCTACTGAATTGAGCTTCTGTTCTTGCAGCCAAGAGTACCCAGAACAATACAGAATATACAGCGCTGCATGTCACAGGCCCTAATATGTAGAATTGGCGGAGTCCACATCGGGTATGGAGCAGGTGGGGATTTCTCCTACTCTTGTTGGGAAATTGTAGTAAAGTGGTTGGTTCAAGAGCCTGTTGTTTTTTGAGACCCTTGACTGTATGACCACTGAGGCTGTAATTTTAGGGTATTAGTGAAACAAAAAGTGAGGATGGTGGAATGTGTTGGTGATTTGTTGTGGCCTACAAGAAACAAGATACATTACAGCCCAAGCTGGCACATCTGGGAAGGAAATAAGAAAAATTGTCTGAGGAAGAAACGTCCTTAATGTTCACCAATTGGTTGTGATGTTTGGAAGTCTGAGGACAATATGCCTTGCTGATTGTGAAAGCTGAGTTCTCTCTGCCCAAGGATAAAATTACTACTAGTGAGAACAGGACAAGCAGGCGCCTGTGGAGGAACTAGTACCCCATGGACTGCCCAAATCCCTCCATTACTGCCTCTGTAAACAAAACAAGGGGGGCCGGAGAAGACACTAGGCTGGCACTTCTGGTGACAAATCCTGACTCCAGAGGCCACCACTCATACAGACCATGATCTCTGAAGGCAACTCAGCCCCTTGGTCTGCCCTATAACTGGAGCTAATAATAGCATCGTGTTAGACCCACAATTTTGCTACTACATTGAGAGCTGGTATTGCATAGTGGTTAGGGTAAAGGCCTTGTTGTTGGGCTATGTGGGTTCAAATCCTAGCTCAATGTTTTCCGTGACTGGGGTTCCAGATTCAGTTCTACCAGACTTCTTGAGTGGCCTTGGGGAAAGTCATATAAGCTGTCTAGATATAGCTTCTTCATTGCAAACCCAGGTAAATTTAGGATTCCCCCTCCACCAACCCTCTTCTAAGCCTTCACATCTCATTAAATGGCCCAGGCAATCCAGGAGCTCAAGCCAACGTCATTTTTCACCTCTAACTTACCTCCTAAATCCATCCCATTCTCCACCCCCCACTGTCTCCACTCTAGTCCTGGACACAAAATTTCTTATCTGCACTTGCCAAAGCACTGTCAAAATGCTTTTATAACATGCGAAATCAGAGTGAAGTCATTCCCCTGCTTAAAACCCTTCAAATGGCTCCCCTTCCTCTTGGAATAAAGGCTCTCCATCCTCCTTAAGCATGGCTTTTGAGCCCTTTTATGGTTTGGCCTTCATCTCTCCCCACTCGGTTCAGGTCACTTCCTCCTCCATCTTTCCCTGAACTACAGTCATACCAGCCTTGTGTTCTTTCAGCTCATCTCACCCCAAGTGTCCCTCTGCCTGGAATGCTCTTCACCAGATATGTCAGCATGGTTGCTTATCTTTCAGGTCTAGACTTCAATGTCACTCCCTCAAGGAAGCATTTTCTGGTTCTTCAGACCAGGTCAGGTCCTGGTGACCACCACAGCACCTATCGAGGTGCCACTTGGTGACACATCTGTCTCCTGGTTCTCCTCAGGGTGACACATACTTGTGATAAATCCTTAATGTTTACCCTGGGGGGTGGAGTCTGGATGCAGAGTTGTCTGCTGTTGGTAGCTAAAGGGCAGTGTCTATCTACTGTCTCTCTGTGCCTAGAGCAGAGCCAGGTCCCCCATTTGCTTGGCAATGACAAATCTGGGATGGCCTTGAAGAACCTTCCCTTCTACACTAACCAGAAATGAGCTCAGGGGCCAGGAGAGAGGAAGCCAGGAAATCAAGATGGTGGAAGGTTCTGGTTTGCTCAAAGCCCCAAGGCCCATCGGTGGCTCATCTTCGATTAATGGTTTGGGCCCCTTAGAGTTGGAATGTCCTGTCACTTTGCAAATAGGCAGGTGGACTTGCACGCTGGCCCCTACTTAGATGGACCTTAACTTTCATTAGGGGGAAACATGTGGTGTCAGTCTCAGAAGAATGAAGTAAAACCACTCATCTAGATGCTCAAGTCAGAAACCAATGGAGCATCTGTTTCTTTCCTCACCCTTAACACCTGTCTCCCCAGTCTCAGATTTAAAGCTTTGGCGAGATCTGCTAATTCTGTCTTCAAAATGCATCCTGAATACATTTGCTTCCTCCTCTCCCTACTGCCACCGCCCTGGGACCGGCCACCCTCATCACTCACTAGGGTCTCTAAGAGCCTCCCAACCAGGCTCTTTCTCTCTTGCCCTCCAGTTTTTCATAGCGGCAGACTGTGGGAAATTGGAGCACACGTAACATCTGGCTAAGACCCTTCACATGGCTTTCTGTCAGATGCAAAATAAGATCTATGCTTCCTTCAAGGTGCAGTGTCTACCCTTCCACCCTCCAGTCCCGTCAGCCACCTTCCTCTTCGTCACCGATGCCAGCAGCCCTGCCAAGCTCCGCCTGCTGCAAGGTCTTTGAAAGCTTCGTGTCATCCGTGGCTTTTGGTGCGCTTCCCTCTGCTCACTGTAAGGAGGGAACCTCAGGGGGGGCTTCTCAACTGTCCTCTCAAGAAAGGCCCTCGTCTGTTATTCTGTCTCAGACACCCTTTCTTTTCTTCAAAGCACTTATTACAATTTGTAATTGCTTTCTTAGTCTGTTTTCTTATTGTTTCCCCTATTCTCCTTGTATAGATCCCAGGCAGAGAGACAAGCTGAGGTATGTCTTGCTATATATCCTCAGTATTGTGTCCAGGCACAGAGCAGATGTTATAAAAAAATCTCTCTTCGATAAAAAGCCTTTGTGGTGGTGGCATCTCTGATAGTCAGGAACTTTTTTTTTGCTTCTGAATGTTGATCCTCAGGCAATGTTTCTGCTTGTTAATGAGTAATTTTTCTTTAGGTTTATGGCTGGGAGTAGAACACGAGATCTTAAGAAGCCTGGCAACCCCTGGACTGTGTGGGAAAATCACCTTCCAGGAAAAGTGCAGTGAATCTCAACTCTAAACCTGGGGATGTTAATCTAGTCCTCAGTCCCAGCACCCAGCTCTGCTGCCAGAGGCCTTGGGCTTCCCAGAGCTTCTCAGGATCCATGACCCAACTGCCCTCTTCTTCCCCTATTTCCAAAGCCCCTCTTTCAGGCCCCACCAAGCCTGCGCCTGTGACTCCTAGTGGCTTTGAGCTGAAACTACAGCAAAGGAGCTGGGGACAAGAGAGGAGAGCCTCAGGGCTGAGCCAGGGGAGGAAAGGGGAAGCTTGGGAGAGCCTATGAGGATGTTGCTGTGAGGGGTAAGATTTGGCCTCTTGGAAGAAGCCAGCCAGGGCTGCAGGGCCCCTGCTGGGATGTAAGCAGGAAGACGGCACGAGGGCACAGTTCTAAAGCAGCATTTACTTTGGTTTTCATTTCTCCAAGGCCCTGGGACCTTTTTGAAGTCCTAGCTTTTGGGTCTTGAACACTCTCTGTCACTCCTCCTTCAGCCACTGCAGCAGCTGAGGTGTGTAGTAGGTGATGATGATGTCTGCACCTGTCAGGAGAGAAGCAGCAAGCAGGGGAGGGGCTGGGCATCAGTTCTGGAAACACTTTCTGGGAGATGAGGGCCAACTGTGGGCAGTGGGGAGAAGGCTACCATGAAGAGCCACAGCTTGAGGGTGTCACAATGTAAGACTGAGCCCAGCTGTGGTCAGTTATAGTTCTGTACATTGTATGACCCTGGGCAAGTCATTTTCTGGGTTTCAGTTTGCCACCAATGTATTAAATACAGTTGGGGCAATAGGTAAGTTGTCAGTTCTCTTCTCACACTATGTTCCATACCAACAAAACCAGCTCCCAGTTGTGGAGTGATATGCATATACAAATTACATGTATCATCTCATTTAACCCTCTTGACAACCATGCGCCAGGTCTCTTATCCCTAGTCATAGATGAGGACACTGAAGTTCAGAGGGGCTCAGCTAAGGTCTCAAAACCAAAAAGGAATAGAGGGTTCTGCTTTCTTCAATGTTCTGTGTCCTGCTCTGCAATTCCATGTTCCTTCCTTAACCTCTGTCTGTTTAGATCCCTGCTATTTCCAAGCATGAGACTCTAGGCTGTCTCATGACTTCATTTCTCTCTCTGACCAAAGTGCCTATCAGTTCCTGTGGTATAGGTCAAAAAACCCCACCCTGCCTGCTTACCTGCTCTGCGGAAGGCAGTCATGGCCTCTAGTACAGCAGCCTTGAGATCAAATGCCCTGGCCCGGGCTCCATGCCACAGCATGGCAAACTCTCCAGAAACGTGGTACACAGCCAGAGGGAGCTCAGGATGCTGCAGAGAAGCAGCAGTGGGCAGACAGGTTGAAATGGAGGGTGGGTGTGCCTCTGCGAGTGTCCCTCCCTCCACGCCCAATCTGTGGCCATTTTGAGCTCCATGCCCTGAGCTGTTGCTCTTGGCAGCTTGGCCCATCCTTGAACTGTTAAGAGCAGAGCTGTTCAAAGGCTCCTTCAAGCCCTGGTACAAAAGCCCACGGTGGTTGCGGGGCAGGGATGTGAAGGGGAGGATTCCTGTTCAGAAGCATACTGCTTCCAACTCTGGGATTCTGCAGTTGCTCCATCTAAGGTCCCAGAGTCTGTGGACAAACTCTCTCATCTCCCTGAGCCCCCTCTTGTCTCTGCTCTGTGCTCACCTTGTCCTTCACCTCCCGCACAATGTCCAGATAGGGCATTCCTGGCTTCACCATGAGCACGTCGGCTCCTTCCCGTACGTCCCGGTCCTAAGGGATGAGGCATGGTGTGGGTTGTGCATGGAGGCCAGGTGGGAGGGAGACAGGCTGGGTGGGGCTCAAGCTGGGCTCTCTCACCACCGCTCGGAGGGCCAGGCCTCGTGCTCCCGGTGGCAGCTGGTAGCAGCGGCGGTCTCCAAAAGCTGGGCTTGACTGAGCTGCATCCCTGGGAAACAGAGGCATCAGGATGGGCTCCAGCTTTGGATTAATGGGTCAGAGACTTAACAGCAGACCCTGCCTATCCCAACTCACCGGAAAGGTCCATAGAAACAGGAAGCAAATTTGGCACTGTAGCTCATCACCGATACCTATGTGGACCGACAATGGGGGTCAAGGCTCAGGCAGCCCTTTCCACATGTCCCAGGGTGAAGTGACAGGAAGAGAAAGGACGTAGGCTGGGAAGTAGGTGCCTGTGGTCTAGTCCCATTGGAGCTCTGAGCCTTGATTCCCCATCTGAGAAACAGAGGTTGAGATGGATCCCAAAGGCCTCGTCCAATGCTGTCTTCACTTCTGTGGCTCTTGACAGATATGCGAGCAGGGCCGGTCCAGGTTTTCTCCTCACCTCCCCACGCCCCTCCCTGTGCTTCTTGCCCCTACCCTGTTGCCAAGTCCATGCGCCATCAGAGCCTCCTTGATAGCTTCCACCCGTCCATCCATCATGTCCGATGGGGCTACCACCTGACATCCTAAGGGGCAGAGGGTAGCCTTCAGAACTCTGGGACCTTCCTATCCTCTCTGCCACCTCCCTGACCAAGGTGTTCATCTCTGCTGGTGGTTCACTCACCTGCCTTGGCATAGGCCAGTGCCACCTCTGCCAGCCGCTGGCGGCTCTCCTCAGCCTGCAATACCCCATTCTTGTTCAGGAGCCCTGCAGGACAAATAGCTGGGTTTGGGGGAGCATCTTGGGCCCTGGCATGTCCCACAATGGGTAGAACTAGGCTGTGGGAATGGAGATGGCTGCCAGGCCAGTAGAGGGAGGAAGCTCACCGCAGTGACCATGGGAGGTGTAGGGGCACAGGCAGACATCACAGGCCACCAGGAGGCTGGGGAAGGTCTTGCGCAACAGACGGATCGCCTCAATGGCTGGGGAGTCCTCGGAGTCAGCTGCAGAGCCCCGCTCATCCTAGTGGCAGGGTTAGGACAGAGCAGTTAAGTCTGCTACACGAAGCCTTCAGGAGGCATGATGGCCAGCTCTCAGAGACTGCAGCCCTGGCCCTCTCCTTTTATAACCAAAATGGAGGAAGTGAGGACTGTCCCCGTTTTGTAGAGGGAACCTGATTAGGGTGTCACAGCCCTACTTAGCTTCCTGACCCTACATGGGTGCGATCTTAACGGCAGGGGCCATGTCTATTCACCTGTGCCCCAGGGCCAGCACAAGGTTGTAACGAGGGTGTGGTCAGTGTGGAACAGCTCATCCTCACCCAACCTTCCCTTCCCCTCCCCTCCTCTCTAACTCTGCCTCCAATTCTTCACCTTGGGAACTTTGCTGGGGACTCCGAACACCAGGACACAACGTAGGCCCTCTTCCACTAGGGGCTTCAGCATCTCTTCTAGCCGGTTCACACCATACCTGCATGCAGGCGAGGTAAAGGGGCTGAAATGATGCAGATCCCAGGCAAGGGTCCCCCCACCCCTGCCAACCCTCTGCACTGTGCCTGTGTTAAGAGCCAAGCGTGAGGCACCATGAGGGCTCAAGCCCCACAGTTCAGGGAGGGACAGGAGGGTACCCACCAGAAAGATGAGAGCCCAAGGCCCCAAGTAGCAGAGCTATGGAATATAAGCTGTGTGAGGCCCCTCTGAGGTTTACATGTATCCTGACTTCAACTCCCACTGGAGTTCAGCTCTCTTCTGCAACAGACTCAGCTGTGATGTTTCTGGTGATGGTTCACCCACTGCTCTATGAGGCTGCCTCTACTGTTGCGGAACAGTGTGGGCCCCGAGAATACCCTTCTCACTAAAGATGAAGTCAGCCTCTCTGGATCTCCTATCTCCTGGCTTTGCTTCTGCTTCCTAGCACTTCCACCTGGGAAATCTCTCCCTTCATCATTCCCTTGCCCTCCCCTCCATGTCTCCTACCTGGCCACTCCTGGGAGGCTGGCGATGGGCTGTACATCATCAGGAACATCCCTGCAAGAGTGGGGAGTGGGCTATGGATTGGTAGCTGTGGGAAGGGCCAGTGGTGACAGGGTGACTGGCAGAGGGATGGCTGGGAGCTGGGGAGGAATATACAAGTAGAGATGGTGGGAAGAGGATGGGATCCAGTGTCTGGTTCCCTTGGCTGGCCAAGCCTGGCTCAAGCCTGAAATAACAATAGGAACAACAAGAATAACAGTGACAAGAGCAATTATACTAAAAGAATGCTAATCATAGGAAGGAGTCAAGTGGTTAAGAACTTGGACTCTGAAGTCAAAAGGTCCTTGCTTGCTATCTAAGCCACTTACTGACTTGGTGAAATTTGGCCAAGTTGTACCATCTCTTTGACCCTCAGGCCCTTCATCTGTATCCTGGGTAAATTCATTCATTCATTCATTCAACAAATATTTCTTGAGCACTTATTATGTGCCAGGTATATCTTCTTGACTCTGGCAATATAACAGTGAATCAAACAGACAAAAACTCTGCCTTCGTGAAGACTGACATTCTACGGGATAATATCCATGCCTTCTTCTTACAAACTCAGGAATGAATGAGACCGTATATGTAGTGCTTGCCATTGTACCTGGTATACAGGAAGTACTCAATAAATGTCAGCCATTGCTATTATTAATAATCACAACCGCCAGCTCTAACACATACCTAGTGCTTTATAATCTATAAGACACCATCTTGGCTTCTGTCTTATTGCAAAAACTCAGGATGGCAGGCAAGGGTTATTTTTCTTAATTTCCAAATGGGAAGACTGAGTTCTTTTGAAGGGTGGTTTTGTTCTTAAACCCAGTAGGCCACTTGCAGCACTGTGGCTCCCAGTTGACAGTCCACTTTACCACCCACAACACAGATGCCTGCTTTGGCACCACACACACACACACACACACACACACACTCTCTCTCTCTCTCTCTCTCTCTCTCTCTCTCTCTCTCTCTCTGCATGTAGGAGGCCTGGCTATTCCTGGAGACTCACGTGACAAAGATGGGGTAGATAAGATTGGAGGCATTGAGTGTGGTGGTGGCTGCCTGCCAGGTCCGAAGCAAGGGGTGGAAGTAGCCACTGTGCAGAGCTGACTGGGGCTGCATGGTAGGTAACGAGAGCACGGGGCTGCTGGCTGGTTGGAACTGAGGGCTGCTGAGATGTCTGCTGCTCTGTGGGGGCAATGGGAGGTACATGAAATATTCTGTCCCTAGGAGATGGTCACATACCCCCACTGTTCCAAATTCCTGAGTCCCTGCTGTCTAGCCAGTGCCACTCCTGGTGTGGTCTGCCAAGCCCTGATGGTCTATCACAAGATAAGTAGACAAATGAAAGTAGACCTTCAGAAACGTCCAGAGCCATTTGAATCTGGCAATAAACAATCTGGGCTTGTATTTTATATGGGCGCTCTCTTTTTTTAAAGTAACATTTCTTTGGCAATTCATTTTTACTGTATTTTATCAAAGAATCAATTGGTGTGGGACTGGAGATTGGCATGAGAAGCATGGATTTAGCCGACATTGCACTTTGTTTATTCCATGAAAAATGTCCATGTGCTTGGCAGAAATTTTAGATAAGCAAAAGAGAAAAAAACTGTAATTCTACCTCTAGAGAAAAGCACTGTTAACACCTTGGACTTCTTGTGAGGCATGACACATTTAAATAGCACTTTGCCTGACAGACACAGACAGAGATCCCCTGCAGAAGCTGTCTTTTCCAGCCTGAGAGGCTCCTGCCCTCCCCATGTAGAACCCATACTTGGCCACTTTCTGGCTCTGCTCACCTTGTCCCCTTTACCCAGAAGGTTGGTGTCCTCTCAACAACCTCCCCATCCCCATACCCTGCCAGCTTCTCCACAAGGCGCCCCCACTTCCCTCTCCCACTAAAGCTTCTCTTCTTGCCCTGATCGATCACAACCTCTCTTACGTAATGGTTCTTTGTGGACCTATCTTTTCCTGTCCCAGTAGACAGGGCTTCTGCAGGGCAGGGTCCACAGTTTGTTCATTTTTGCCTCCCCCACAGCACTCTGCCACACAGTAAATATTTAATTACATGACATACAAGATAACATGCCCTAAATATGTGACTAAGACAGAGGCAATTAGGGGCATTAACATTTGTTTTCTGAGCACCTATTGTGCACCAGTCTGTGCTGGGCACCTGTACATGTGATAACTCATCAAGTTAGCACTGCAGTCCTAGGAGGTCAGGCTGATTAAAATCACCTCAGAGAGGAGCCTATCTCAGATGACCATGCATTCTCACGTGAGTTCAGAGGTCAGAAGAAACTTGCCAAGAAGACAGGGGCTTGAATTTGCTTTTGCAGGATGAGCGGGTTCAGCTTGGCAGAGGGAAAGGAGAGAAGTTCCCTTAGGAAGGCAGGAAAGGGGAAAGGTGGGGAAGCAGGAAGGGCTGTGGACTCCTTTGAAGACCGAGGAGGCACTGTGTGCATGGAGGGGAGGGGAGGGGACAAAGGGGCCAGACTGAAGACATGGAGGGTTTCTGAGAAGGGGACAGGGGAGCGGCCGGGTCAAAGCCTGGTGTAGGAAGATAATTCTTGCAGCCTGAGCAAAGCAGGCTGGAAGCAGAGGAGCACAGAGGCTGTGGGGTCAGAGGGGCAGAGAAGGAAGGGCCATCAGAAGGCAGAGACTGCCTCTTGGGGTTGATCCTCTGCGCCTGTCTGACCCAGAGGGCAACAGAGACAGGGACAAGGCAAAAAGAAGACAGTGTGGAGCAGAGCTTGAGAGGAGGTGGAGAGGTCTTTTCTAGATACTTCCTTTCGGAGGTTCCTGGGGGAACCCCCAGTAGCCAAGAAGGGGGAAAAAAAAGAGCCACCAATCTCTCCTTGTAACAGAATGGGAATGGGACCTCAAGATCCAGAGGGACAGGGACTTACCCAATGTAACACAGTGAATTAGAGGCTAAACCAGCAGGCCTGGAAGCCTGGTGTGTCCATTCCCAGGCAGGGAGTCCTTTAGTACAGTGACGGTGCCTTCATCCCAATGGTCTCCCAGGCCCCCTTAGCTCCGTCCCAACCAGCTCAGGGGCCCATTTTATCCAGTCCTCCTCCTTGTCATGTTTGGGGTTATCAGGAGCCACAGTGACACCGACCTGCCACCACACCCCTGCGCCAGCTCCATCATCTGACACAGAGGCAAGACAGGCCTCACCAAAAATGTCCCAACCCCCAGATGAGCAATCATTCAGCAGATACAAAGTCCTGAGTACCCATTTTGTGTAAGATTTTCTTTCAAGTCTGCCAGGGATTAGCGCAGCTCAGAGGTTAAGTCACTTGCCTAAGACCACACAACTAGTTAGTAAATGAGCCAGAAATTTAATTTGTTCTAGACAATGAGTGCAGGGTTTTATTTACTATATGCCACTGATAAACACTTGATTCAACAGGCATCTTTCTGCCTATACTATCTTTGTCTTGCAGGCTGCAGAGACGGAGGATGTGAGAGAAAAATATGTGAATGTATGTTATGTGCTGGGCACTGGGCTAGATATTTTGTATATGTGTTATTTAATTGCAGAGACTTGTAACTTTCAGTGATAAAGAAATGGAGGCTCAGAAGCCTTAAGTCAATGTCATCCTGGAGAGTCAAGTCAGATTTTAGTTAGGACTACTGTCTCTGATTCACTTCCCAGAGAACAACCTTTGTAGCAGGCTCCTGCAGAATCCACAGAGCATTCCACCGGCATCAGCTCCCCATTCACTTTAGCAGGCTGACGGAGCAAATGCCTTCTGCTTATTAGAAGGGTGGGAATGCCTAGGAGCTTTGCTGTCCACATTTAATCCCAGGGGATGGGGGCTGGGATAGCGGAGTCCAGGGAAGAGGGTGAGAGTGCTTAGTTAGGGGGGAGATGTGTGGCTCACTGGGGCAGTTCCACTCTTATCTGTTTTTTCTTTTTAATTTTATTTTGGTATCATTAATCTACAATTACATGAGGAACATTATGTTTATTAGACTCCCCCCTTCACCAAGTCCCCCCCACATACCCCATTAGTTACTGTCCATCTCTTACCTGTTTTTAAAATGTTAGGGTTGGGGAGAGATTTGATTTGAGAAATGAGTATCAGTGCTGAAAAAATTCGAAAGTTGAAAGTCACCAATCCCATTTGTCTCTACATTCTGACGTGGAAAATGGGGTGCAGAGAGGCGATGGGACTTGTTTGACATGACACATTGAGTCAGGCACAGGGCTGGGCTTCACCATGGGCATCCCAGCTTGTAGCCCAGTGCCCTATTACTGACACCACACAAACGTTCTGTTACAACAGGCGCTCAGTAAATGTCTATGAAATAGAAAAATACCCTTGAGCAACAGAGTTGCATCTCTGCTTGCAGAGCCAAATCCAGCCTGGTGCTTTACTTTACAAGAAGTCCCTCAAAGATTGGGAGATTTTCACACTTGGGAGGGTTTCTTCCAAATCAACGGAGCCTGCAAGTCAGCTTAAATCCTGGGGCAGCCCATTGAGGTCAAGAGCAAGTCACCAGGGGACCTAGCACCTATGCTCACCCACATTAGAACAGGTTAGCTTAGCTGGAAGGCAATATAGGGTGATGCAGAAAGAACCATGCTCGAGGATCAAATAGTCCAGGGTCTGGTCTGTGCTCTGGGTGACTTTGGGCAAGGTTGCTGGGCTTTCAGCATCTTTATTTTATAATCTAAAAAATGAGAATGAAACCACCAAATTTGCAAAGCTGCCAGAGAAAACTGGAGACAGCGAAGAGGCACATGCCTGGCACTCAGTAAACATGTGGCCATTTTATGATTAGGAGTAGAAGTGACCTGGAAAGAGCAATAATCACCACATAGGTGCTGTGAGAGGGACCTGTGTTTCTGGGAGTCAGGGATGGCTTCACAGAAGAGAGGACATGAGGGATAAGTAGTTTTTCAGATTGATTGCAAGGTATCTCCTTCCTTGGAAGGCAACTTCTCCCACGTGGAAGTAACCTAAGTTAGGTCCTGAGAGCTGCCACCAGGAGGGGCTGAGAAAGACTGGCAAGGTCTGAACCCCTTTGTTGCATTCCTCTGAGGATTCCAGAGCCTGTGCTTTTGGCATAGGGGGTTGGCAGCTGCTGCCAGCTCTGGTGGTCTCTGCCAGTAGCCCAAGAAGAGGCAGTTAGGAGGACTGGCTTAAGTAGAAGGTGGCCAGGGCTGAGAAATCCAAAGCCCTAGATGGGTCCAAGACAGCAGCTGTCAGGTAGTTCTGGAAAAAGGATGATGCAGAAACCCCAGACGAGGTTGGCTACTTGTTTATTCAACCCATATTTTCTGAATACCTACTTTGGGCCTACCCCAGGGCTAGATAAAGACATTAAAGAGAAGAATGAGACCATGCCTTGACCTAGGGCTTTGAAGAGCACCGTTTCCTCTGGGCTTAGCCATTTAGAGCTATAAGGAAAATTTGCCAGTTCCACAGATTCCTAGAACATTTTGGCTAACAGGCTCCTTACAGCTTGTTGATTACATCATTGAAATGATGGTGAAACTTGGCTCAGAGAAGAGCTGACACTGGCCCAAGATCACCCAGGGGGTCAGTGGCAGATCTGGGGCTAGAATCCAGGTCTCCAGCACCATTACCCCTTGATACTTTAAGTACAGCTTTCAAAGCTGATTACCAGCAGATCTGGAATTGTGGAGAGCTGAGTGAAGGGGATGGAAGAAGAGGCAGGCTGGTGACTCTGGACCTGGCTGCAGCTGGCAGCATGATGATTAAGTATGTGGGTTTTGGAGCTTGTAGATATGGGTTCAAATCCTGATTCTGTCATTTTCAAATTGTGTCATCTGGTTTCATCTGGTAAATGGGGACTTGAACCGACCTCACTGGGCTGTTGTAAAGACTGAATGGGTCGATGCATGTAACGTACGTACAAGCCTAGCATAAAGCAGCTATTTTGTTTCCACCTCCCTCCCCCATCTCTGTAAGGTACCTCGGGCTCTGCACCGACGGAGACTGTATTAGCGATCTCCGAAAGGCTGGACCCCAGGGAAGAGACGAGGAGCCCGGCCCCAAAGGGCTACGTCCAGCGGAGACCCCAATCTCGGCTGCAGCAGGACAATCTACCTCTAAGAGTCCAAACAGGGGCCCCACAGGGACTGCCAACGGCAGAATGCCAGAGGCTCCTCCAGCGGTTCAAGCGCACAGCATAAACTGGGTCGGAGGACACGGAACCCTTGGTGTCCCAAACCCCCGCCTCCCAAGTCCACCATCTCCCCGAGTCCAGCCACCTCGCTCACCGGCCTCCCTAGGTCTCGGAGCTGCCACTCTCGCCACAGCTCTCGCCACCGCTCTCGCGCGCTCTAGACTCCCGGGGCCCACGTGGGGGCGGGGCGACTCGCCCGGAAACGGCTCCACCCCCAGTCACAGCCCATCCCCACCGGCATGCAGGCTACGCCCCTGCCGGCATATCGCCGGGTGGTTGGTTAACACCTGCAGAGGCTCCGCCCACCACGTTGGGCTCGAGGCCTGGCCAATCCGGTGTGCCGAGGGGCTGTCCCTGCGTCGGGCTCGCGTAAGAGTGCAGGGGCAAGGCGGGAGGAAACCGAAGCGGGCACTGGGGAGCGGCGCGGGAGGGTCGCTGTGGTGTGAGACACCCTCCGGCGAGATTAAGGCTCCGAGGTTCTCATAGTCCTCTCTCCAGCCTACCGCATACTTGGCTCTGGTTAATTGTTGAAAGCATAATTGAAGGCAAGGACATTATAACAACACCGTAATGCCTAATACAATAGCTAAGTACATTTTTGCGGACTGAGCATTTTAAAGTTGTTGAGTTTAGTACCAGGCTGTGGTCCAAAGTTCTGAGAAATCAATTCCAACGTGATTACTCAGCTTCTACTCTGTGGATTGGATTGTGGAGATGTGATGTGAAAGACATGGGCACTCTGGAAAAGTGCAGGTCTGGGACATCAGACCTGTCTATGCTGGGTATAATGAGGTTGACCAAAGGTCTGTGAGTATGTACAGGGGCAGAGAGGATCTGATAAGTCTATGGGATTTAGGTGAACTGTTAGGATTGGGTGGGTGAAGTAGGGGTCATGACCAGCAAAGGAATGCCTTTATAAAGGTGCGTCAGCGATTCCTGAAGAGTTGAGTTTGAACTGTATAGAATGCCAGTGGATTGCATGTATTACACTTTTTATCAGATTTCTTATCTCAAAATCTGTACCCCAAACCTGTTTTATACCTCTGTATTCCAAGTTAAAGAGGGTTAATGCTAGGGAAATATGACACAGGAGTTCTAATCTGTGGTCAAAAAAGGAAGGTTGGTGGAAAGGAAGTTACGTTTTTTTTGTGTGTGCATTAAAGAGTCAGGGACAGTACCATGCATTTCACATTCACTTATCCAATTCTGGCGACTGCTATATTACTATCTGTATATTACACATTGGCAAAGATTTGCTAGGGAGATGAAATAATTTGCCCCATGTTACACTGGGATTTCTCTGCAATGCGGGCTAACCATGCTCCTTCAACTCATAGGGGTAATTACTGTTTTTGTTCCCTCACCCACCCTTCACAGTTTAGATCCCTTCCACAATTTTTTCATGACACCTGTGTCAACTTTGAATTTATTGATAACTAAAAATAATCAGGACAGTTTACCTCTAAGAACCCACATAGGGTGGAAAATTTAGGAATGCTGCTGTTTGGTGTAATCTGTTTTTCTCATGTCTCTCTCTTATTCTTGACAGAAGGTAACAATATGAATAAATCTCAAACATAGTGTTGAGCAAAAGGAGTCAGACATAGGAGTATATACTGTCTGGTTTCATTTGTATGAAATACAAACCAGGCAAAATTCATCTGTGTTGTTGGAAGTCAGAATAGCAATTACCACTGGGAAGGAGACCAAAGGGGCTTTTTAAGGTGCTGGTCATGTTGTTTATTTATATGAGGGTGAGTTATGTGGATGTGTTTAGTTTGTGAAAACTTATCAAGCTCTATACTTACCTGAACCTTTTAGTGTGCATATTATACTTAATAAAAAGTAAAAAAAAAAAAACAAGAAAAACAACCCACAAAAATTTAAAACCCCATGAAATCATTGTGGGTGCCTCCCAGGTGGGTATAGGTTATTGTGCTAAATGCTGTGAAGAGCTTAAAAAGAGAAAAATTAGTGGTTACCAGGGCCTGGGGGAGGGAAGCATGGGGTAACTGCTTGATGGGTGTGGGGTTTTATTTTGAGATGATGAAATGTTTTGGAACTAGATAGGAGTGGTGGTTGCACAACATTGTATTTGTGCTAAATGCCATTGAATTGGTCATTATAAAATGGTTAATTTTACGTTCTGTGAGCTTCATCTCAAAGAAGATAATTGGTTCATCAAATGCAATACGGTATTCTGGATTGGATACTGGAACAAATAAGGACGTTAGTAGAAAAATAATTAGTTTTGTATTTGATAGTTTTTTTTTAGTTTCTACAAATGTAGTGTGATTATGTAAGATGCTAACATGAAGGGAAGTTGGGTGATGGTTGTATGGTAACTGCACTCTTCACAGTTTTTCTGTGTATCTAAAATTGTTTCAGCATAGAAATCTTATTAGAAAAAAATAAATACAAACAAGGCCATGGGCCACTGGAACAGCTCTGTGCTTTCATAAATCAGTGGTAAGATCTTGAGCAAGTCAGTTCTCTCTGATGAGCTTCAACTTCAATTTGTAAAAATAGTTTGGGCTGCAAAAGTAATTTTGCATGGGTAAAGATGGTGACCTTCCCACCATCCAAATCCAGATCAGAATGTCTAGGCATGAAGGGCTATGGGTTAAAAAAAAAGGGTGAGAAATATTACCTTAGTTTGTTAAGAGTAGGCAGTTAGAGGTGGAGAAAGACAAATGTGAAATGATTTCCCTCATTTGTGGAGTATAACAATGAAGCAAAACTGAAGGAACAAAATAGCAGCAGACTCAGAGACTCCAAGAAGGTACTAGTGGTTACCAAAGGGGAGGGGTGTGGGAGGGTGGGTGGGGAGGGAGGGAGAAGGGTTTCAGGGGTATTATGTTTAGTACACATGGTGTGGGGGATCATGGGGAGAACAGTGTAGCACAGAGAAGGCACATAGTGGATCTGTGGCATCTTACTACACTGATGGATAGTGACGCATCGGGGTATGGGTCGGGACTTGACAATATGGGTAAATGTAGTAACCACAGTGTTTTTTCATGTGAAACCTTCATAAGAGTGTCTATCAAAAAAGAAAAGAGTAGGCAGTAAGATGTGAGAAGGAGGGGAGAAAGGGGGAGACAGGCCACCCTGTGTCCATCCAGAGGCCCCCCTGTTTCCTTAGGCCAATCCCTTTTTAGGTTCAGCACAAACTGATAAGTAAAAATACGGGTCACTGGGACCTTCTTGATTTTAGAGCATACACACTTAAAGAAGACCTTGTCACTAATAACCCTGAGGCCATCATAATAGTATATAATTTACATGATGGTTTTGGCCCCACCATGGGTTTCTCTTAGGCACTCATGGGAAAAATGATCACAAACTTGCACAAAGAGGCTGAAGGAGAGGAAGCAAGACAAATCCAAAGGATGATATAAGAATGACAAAATGAGAGGGAGGAAACCAAATAAACCTCCATCAAGGACACAGTGTAAAACTCAGCAGGTCTTTACCCACCCTCAGGGTCAGTGTCTCTTGAACGTATTTTCCTTTTGCTTTGCTACATAAAAAATTCCTTTGCAGCTTTAACCCTCTATCAGGCGTGTAGGGGACGGCCTTTGTCTTCTCACATGTCTGAAGGCAGAATGGGAAAGCACCTTCCCCCACGTCTGAACGCAGCACGGGAAAGCACCAGTTTGAGAACAACTGGTGCAGTCCTTGGAAGTTATTTGCCCACAAAAACATATCTTGTCCTCGAAGACGAGCCAAGACGCCTCACTCTGAAAATAGAGAGACCTTGAGGACGTGTGAAAACACCACCCCTGCTTACCAGGCAGCTTCTAAGAAAATCAACAAGGTGCTCTGGCCTGCCCCCCCTGAGAAGGGTAAAGATGAGTATAGCACTTGGCTGAGGTCCGAGAAAGGCAGTATAAAAATAAAGGTGCTGTGCCACATCGGGGCTGCAGCCACTGTCGGTCTGTCTGTTTTGTTCTTTCATTTAACCCAAAGAAAATGTGCGGCACACTACATCTGGCATCCAACGTGGGGCGTCCTCTCAGAGTGATTTGTATATTCATTCAGCTCCACGCCTCCACTTCCGGACTGTTCGACTTGAAGGCAGGCACCATCACAGGCGTCTCCACTGAATTCTTTCCTGGCAGACCACAAGAACTGAGCAATTCCACAATCTACCACCCAGTAACAAGCCTAGTAAGGAAACTTCAAAATCTAGATAATAAAGAAATGGTAAGAGGTGTGGCTGGGAAAAACTGGCAGATGACCTCAAAGATTCCTCACAGTTCTTAAATTCTGTAGTTTTAAGTCATAGTCCCCCCTCTCAGCAAACATTTTGCTAAGGTAGTCAAAGTTTGGTAAGAACTAAAGCCGTGTGGAAGGAGAGTTCTTTTGGTGATTCATTCTTGACTGGAGCCTTTTGTTGAAATAGAACCAGATTAGAAAAGATGGTAAAGTGAGCCCTCTTTAAGCAGGCTTTGAATCACAGGTTTAAGTATGGATTTGATTTACTAGGAAGCAGTGAGGGACTGTAACATAGCAGTGTTCCAGGAAGATCCACTTGGCAAGCAGTACACAAGGGAAGCTAGGGGAAGCAGAGATGAGGCAGGAAGCTGAGTTCAAAAGAAGCCAAGAGTCCAGATGGTATTTCAGGGATTAGCTGAGTGTTGCTCATGGGAATTAAGGATGTTTCTGCTGTGAAGGAAAAAGCCACTGGTTCTAATGACTACTGTGGTTGTATCTTTTTGAAATGTTATGAATTTATGATTTGAAATGTATAGATTAGAGAGGTAATACAGTGTTGTGGTTGAGATTATGGTGATAATAGTACTCCTTCATATGGTTTAAGAGTTAATACTTGAAAGCATTTATAACAGTGCCAGACACAGCAGGGACTCAGTGAATGTTTGGAGGTTTGGAGTTGTTGAGCATCTAGCATGTATAAGGTGCCCAGCAGAGCCATGGAAAGTTCTGGTTGAAGCTCATGGTTGAAGAGCTGTGCCCTTGCCTGTGAAGAAGCAGCATCTGCTGGTCACCCAAGGTGGTGCAGGATCCCGTGTTTACAAAGGTCTGGTCTAGTCTACATCCCAAATACTGTACAGGGTATGATCGGTGGGTCCTCCTCAAATACACACTATAAACAAGCAGGATGAAACAGGAGTCATCACTTTTAATACGAATGTTATTTATTTGTACACAGCATTATGATTTTCTCAATATTCTTCACTCATTTATCAACAAACTTTTTATTGAATTCATGTAACAAGTCAACAATATCAAACTATACTTCACTACCTGGCAACCTCCAAGCCCTCAACTTAGAGACAAATATGTAAGTGCTTGGAGCACCAAATGGAAAGAGAAAAAAAAAAGTTCGACAGAGGTATCTTTGAAGCAGTTACAGGGGATGGTTTTGAGGCAAATTAGATTCCTGAGCACCATCAGATTTCCCTTAAGGTTGAGAGGTTTACAAAATCATTTCTAAGACATGAGATTAGAATTAAGAAATCTAAGGAACCCACACACTGGAATATTTAGGTTATCATGTAAGTTCCTGGATTGGTAGAATTGTGAAAAGGAGGGGGAGAGAAAGTGGAATGGGGAACACAGGAGGGACAGGAAGGAAGAAGCACAGATGGAGAAAGTTGTGCCTAGAAAAAATAAAGCTTGGAACTTGTCATTAAGTGGAAGAATGAAGTCATAATCACAAGCCTGGGAGATGGACTCTATGAAGAAAAAGCCTGAAATTTTATGCCTTCCAGGAGATGATAAATTCTAAAGCTGTACAGTGACAGGCAGTGAGGTACATCTAAGACTTCATCACTTATTTTGTAAGAGGAAGACACTGGCACTTAATTCAACTTTACATTGCTGACTTAAAAGCATATTTGCCCAGAGTGCAGCCACCCCAGCAGATCAAATGCCTTTAGGCAATACAGAAGGGTGGGCTCCAAGCCAAGTGGGTCTGTTAATGTTACTGTCAAGTGAAGAGACAACAGAACAGATTTCATTATTCTCCCACAGCCTTTTACTAGTTTCCTAAAGCTAAGCCATTCTGATGACTTGTGATAGTATTGCCAAATACTGTACAATTAAACAAGCTGACCATGATCAAAGCCTCAATTTTTCCTGAGCCTTGACTGCTTCTGTGATCTGGAACAAGGAAGCAGCATGGAAGTGATTACTTTTTTGGAGGTGGGGGTGAGAGGGAACTGGGGATCAAAAACTGCCTACCCATATATATAAGTAAACAAGAGAGATCATATTGACTAACTAAATTAGCTGTTCAGAATCTCTTTTGCCTACAAGTTACATAACCTTAAGACTGATTAAGCAAAACAGGATTCTGCTACTTAGATGCTCTGAGTCTGGGAAGCACTGGTTTTGATGATCATTCGAGTCTTTACTTCAATGTCAGGCTCTTCTGCCTATGACTACTCCGACCAGCAGGGAAAAGGTTCTCACAAACGGGTACCACATTTCAGAGTGGTACCTTCCAAGGTGCCAGTCTCCCCACTCTATTCAGTTGTCCACGTCCTCCTCTTCATTCTGTTCTTCTTCCTCCAGCCTTTCCTCCTCTTCATCATTGTCCTCATCCCTGCTCTTGTCTTGTTCTTCCGAATCTGGTTTTTTGTCTTTGTCCTTCTTCTTTTGTTCTGAAGCTTCCTTCTTGCCTTTCTGCTCCCTCCTATATGCTGTAAGGAGGAAGGAGAAGATTAGGAGGCAGGGCTAAACCAGACTGCAGCAGCTAATTCTATTGTATAACTGAAAAGCTGAGACACAGAAGGAAAAGGAACAGAAGAGACCTGAGGTGGTGCCTTATGAACTGGTTCTGAGTCATATCCAATACTTGCTTATTGGACTTAAGGGGCCCAAGTTGAGAAAGACTCAGAACCAGGTGAGCAGGGCACACAGGAAGAACCTCTTATACTTGGCTGAGAAAAAAGAATCGTTACCTTCCAAAGCTTCTTTTAATGGGGTAATGAACCGCTGGAACTCCATCTCCTCCATGGCTGCGAGCACATCAGTGGCGTTAAGTGTCTTGCGTTTTCCTTTCATGGCAAAGTTGTTGGCACTGAAAAAAAAGTTAAGGAATATCAGAGGCTGTCAGAACCCCACTTTCTGCGTATGGAGTAGGAAAAGGATCACCCAGATATATAATGGGAGAGTCTACGTCTTAGATGCGTGGGTTTTTGTGACACACTGCAGGAATTGGTTAAGGATTGTGAAGCTCCCTCCACTGGTGTAGGACACCATTATTGGGGTTTGTGGGTTCCAGCCCACGAACTCAGGGCCGGGGGTCTATCTGCACCTCTGGCTAGCTTAGCCCGCCTCACCAGGATGTGGCGTACAGCACGAAGACGCTGGCAGCGCGGGAGATGGCGCTCCGGGCCTCCTTGGAAATGTTGACACCGTCCGGGAGCTGTGACAAGACCGGGGGTTAGCAAAGCTGCGGGCCCAGGACCTGCTTCCCCTCCGCCCGCTGGTCCGCCCCTGGCCCGTCCCCTGCTCACCGCCTCCTTGATGATCCTGGTGATGACGGCATTGGGCAGGTTTAGGTCCTCGGGCCTCTCTGCCATTGCCGCCGCCGGGGGCCGTGCCTCCGCCCCAGGGTTCCTCTTCAGGACACTACGGCGTCCGGACTTCCCGCGTCGCCACGGGCTGACCCAACTAGGCTTCCGTCCCGCCCCACGTTGTCCACACTATCCCACAGTGCCCCGCGGCCATATTCTCCCACCTCCTCCAGCCCCGTCTTACTCTCCTCCAGTCGTCGGTGAATCCAGACTTTCCAAGCCACTATGGTTTTGGCCTGCCGAGACTTCCGTCCGGCCTCACCAGCACCCGGCGGTCCGCCCCAGGCTTGTTTCCCTGCCTCACGCTATCACCTCACCTTTCTCACCGAATTAGTTATGGCTCACTGAAGCTTCCGTCCCTTCCCCATAGTGCTCTGCGCCGCAGCCTGGCGTGGGAGAAAGTTTGGAGTGAGCCGGCTGGGCGGGGCCCTTCGCGTGAGAGGCGGGGCTTGGTGGGCGATTTCCTAGTGGGCTTCGGCTTTCTAACGGTTTGGACGTCGGCTTTGTTGCAGCGGAAACATGACTTTCTGAGGGCAGTTTCTCCCGTTTTCTCTTTTCCGAAGTGAAGGAGGGACTCTGTTTCCTGCTGTATCGGAGCTGATGTTAAGAAGGCTGATGTCACCCTTCCTAACTCTGTAATAATTGTATTAAGAATAACTCTTTGAAGTAGAATTTTTTAACGCAATCTACTTGCGAGCACAGCGGTAATGATGGCGAGAGATGGGCGTGACTAGACCTCGGGGCTCAACCCGGGCAGGTCAGGTAATAAAACTGCAACAAGCTGCGAATGTAAGAAGAACGCAGCATTACATTCGCAATCACTAATAAACCCTGTTACATTATTTTTTATTTTTTAGTTAATTGAATTGTTCGTCCTTCATCTCTCCCAATCATGGTTTTGTAGTGGCTTTTTAAAGTTGTATCGTTTTCTTATTACATAGGTAGAAATTGTCCTCACTCTTGAGTATTAAAACTTTTTTCTTGAAACATGCTTCCTCAAGTTACCTTTGGTTTCCCCAATTTTAATGAAGACATAAGTACAGAGAAATACTTATTTTGAGAAAAACAACAGCAAACGCGATGATAAACGGGAACCAAAATCTCTTTTAACTCAGAGACTATGGGGTTTGGTGGGAGACTTTCCACTTGGGTAGAGCAGACCTGGTTAAAAATGTCAGGAGATGCTCTGCTCCAGCTAGTTGCTGTCTGGTTGGAATTGGGCTCCGTGTTGTCAGGTGTTTTGATCTTTAAGAGGAGCCAGAAATCTGGACAGTATGGACTAATTCCATTTAAAATAATAGCTCAAAGTACAGGCCAAACAGAACAAGATATGGGCCAGGTGCAATTGCAGGCCAATAGTTCGGTATCTTTGGTCTGATTATAAAAGCTCTTTAAAACAGGGAATTATTTTGTTAATTACTGTTCTCTAGGCCCATAACAAGTCCCTTCATGTATTTGGTAGTCAATAAGTGAGTAAAAGGAAGAAAAAATAGACACTGTCCTTAAAAAGTTATTAGGGATCAGGTGGTAGTAATTGCCAAAAACACTGCTAGAGCGAGAAAGATGATAATATTTGTCAAGCACCTATTGGATATCATCATACATAAAGTATACTATCTCATTTAATGCTTCTGCAGTCCTACTTAGGGATTTCCCCTTGCTTGCATTATATAAAGAAATAGGCTGAGAGAGATGCTAATGACTATGAAGGAGAAAAGGAAAGGATGCTAATACTTTGAGCTATATGCCAGACTTTTTAGTACCCATTAAGTAATTTACCTGTAATGAGCCTGTGAAATAGGCTTATCTTCATTTTGTAGTTGAGAAAACTCAAACTCAAACTGGCCAAGTCCCAGGTCTCTTAGCTGTTAGATGGCCAGTTAGGAGACCCTCTGAAGTCAGTCTGCTCCCAAACTCTTGCTGCTGTACTTCACACTGAGATGTTTTTATACTTACTTGTACTCAGTTCTTAGTTACTCTGTGACCACCATTTACCTATACGGGTTTAGTGAAACTATTTTATGCTTTGAGTCCAAATTAATATTTGGTCTGCATGGGTAATGTATAGTACTCCCTAATATGTGGTGGTTGTTTCTCCAGAAGGCTGGAAAGCTTCAAGATTGGCTTTTGTCCTGAACCACTATAGCCATGGACTTGCCAGATGAAAGCCAGTGGGATGAAACCACTTGTGACTTGGCTGTTTGTCAGCATCCACAATGTTGGGCAACTATTCGCCGGATTGAGAGGGGCCACCCTCGAATCCTGGGCACCCCTTGTAAAACTCCTCTGGATGCTGAAGGTGAATTGGCCAGCCCTATCCCTTTCCTTACAAGATACTTGAATTATTTGTTTGGCTCCCTTGACAGGTTACCTGTTTTCTTTTGGTTTGCTTTCTCAGTCAAACTCCCAGTGCTCACCATTGTAAACATCTCAAATTCCTGCTTCCGGGCCAAGAGACCTGCTCATCATCATTTATCAGGATTTTCCTTCACCAAGTCTCGCTCTTTATTGTCTCGAGGTTCAAAGTTTGACTCCAAATTTCAAGGCAGGTAAATTATCATGGAATCTTCCTTTAAGAGCTTACTATCTCAGTATTTTGGGTTGGCTTCCTTTACCCATGACTGTGAGTAACCTGGATTAAAAAATAAAACCAAATCGGTTAAAGAAGTAGTTATTTTAGGCAATGGGAAACAAAAAGAAATCCTTCTTATTTATGTTGTAGGAGTTGGTTAAAATGGGTGTGTGTGTTAGTTTTCTAGTGTTTCTGTCACAAAGTACCATAGACTGTGGCTTAACAGAAATTTATTTCTTAGAAGTCTAAGGTTAAGGCTCTGGCTGAATTGTTTTCTTCTGAGTGCTTCTTGGCTTGTAGGTAGCTGTCTTCTTCCTGTGTCTTAGTACTGTCTTCCTCTGTGTGTGTCTCCTCTTCTTATAAGCAGACCAGTCATGCTGGGTTAGGGCCCAACTTTGTAATCTCATTTTACCTTAATTTCCAAATAGACCCTATTTCCAAATAGTCAAATTCTGAGGTAGTGAGAGTTAGAATTTCAACCTAAGAGTTTGGTGGGGTGGGGGTAGGAGGCACAATTTAGCCCATAAGGGGATCTCATCAGATTCTATAGGTCATCAGAAAGCTGTCTCCACACATGCTGTCTTTTTCTCCTTTATTTTTAGGTATGAAACTATTTCTAAGCTCTCAAAGGCAGGTGCTGTAATTTCCTTTTGACTCTCCTTCAAAGTTTAAGGCAGCTGGTTAGTGATTGCTGATATAGGAAGCTGAGCGACTGGTATCTATGGAAAACAGACTTAAATCCAAAGACCCTGTTGCCTGGAATCAAAGCACTAGTGGTGGCCTTTGTAGTGGTTTTTTTTCCTCCTGTTCAATTTAAGCAGCCCTTGATGATTCTGTTAGGCTCAAGATAGCATAGGAAAGGATAAGATGACTTTCTGTTTTTCTAGGACTTGAACCCTGGCTTCTCTCAGTCAGAGCTTATGAAGGCAAAGACTATGACATCATTCATTCCGTCACTCACTGAATTCACAAATGTGTTTTAGTGGGAGTCACTTTGTTGGACATTTGGGGACAGTCTTAACCCCCAAGGGGATTTCAGCCTCGTTGGGGAGGTGAGCCATTCAGTGTGAGGAGTGCGGTGAAACAAGTGCTCCTTGGGTGTGTGGGATCCCACAGGAGGGGTTCCTAACCCAGGGAACCGTCTTCTGTACAGGCGGCATCTGTGCCTACACCTGAAATGAGAACAGTCTAGTGAAGTGGGGCTGCAGGTGGGAGGTGGACAGAAAGAGCATTCTAGACTACAGAAACAGCATATGCAAAGGCATGGAGGCAAGAGGAAATTCTTTAGGGATCAGGAAAATAGTTCATTGTGTCTAGAACACAGAACAGGAATGGGAGAGTGGTCAAAGATGAGGCTTGGAAGCTGGAGTAAAAGCGGGACCCACATCACATAGGACTTCATAAATGAGGCCAAGGAGTTGGATCTTTGTTTTACACCTCTGCAATATTCTTTCAACATACATTTAGCATGTTTTTTAAAAAATAAATAAAATAGCAGGTAATATGAAAATGTAATGGGATGATTTTCTTTTTTTGTTGCGATAAATATACATAACAAAATTTACCATTTTAACCATTTTTAAGTGCACCATATGGTGACATTAAGTACATTCACAATGTTGTATACCTATCACCACTGTCCATTTCTAGAACTTCATCATTTCAAACAGAAACTCTGTACCTATTAAATAATAACCCCTCATTCCTTCCTCCCTCCAGCCCCTGGTAATCTCTATTCTACTTTTGTCTCTCTGAATTTGTGCATTCTAGGTGCCTCATATAAGTGAAATTATACAATATTTGTCCTCCTGTCTTTAGCTTATTTCACCTAGCATGATGTTTTCGAGGTTCATCTATGTTGTAGCAAGTATCAGAATTTTATTCCTTGTTTAAGGCTGAAAAATATTCTATGTATGTCCAGGTTTTGTTTATTTAACATGTTTTTGAATATCTACATCAAGGGTACTTCATAAGCTTTTATTGATGGAGATGTAACTAGTAGGAGAGAGAGAGAGAGAGAGAGAGAGAGAGAGAGAGAGAGAGAGAGAGAGACATAGACATAGACTATGAATTCAGTTTGATGTAACAAATAGTTGTGAAGTATTTGCAACATGCAATGTCTGTTCAGGAGCTCTTCCAGGAAAAACAAACAAAACTAAGGAGCTGTTGAGACCCTCTATTCAGTAAGCATTATGCCCATGGTTTTCTGTAGGTAAGTAGAAGGTTTTTCCTCATAATACTAACTTCATCATCCCAATAAGGCTTGTGTCTTTGTCTCATGTTTGGAAACTCTCATTTTTTAGGCCTCAGAAGAATTTACCTGAAAAAAATATAATCAACTGTACTAATAGATCTCCTAAAGTAAGTCACAGATTAGAAAAGGTACTTCCTCAGCATTTTCTCTTTACTAGTGGAAATAAATATTTACCTTTATTTAACATTCGGGAAGACTATAACCTGAATAATGATATGATGATGATGATGATAAGTATCTAATATGTACTGGGCTCTATGCTAATGCCTCTATGTGCTGTACTGTTTCCAGAAAACCTAGATACAAGCAGGATTGACTTGTGGCAGTTTGGTATAGAATTTCCTGTCTCTGT